AAAACCACTGGAATGCTGGAAATTCATAGTTTTGATCCAGATTGAATCAAATTGTTCTGCTTTGTTTGCTAAGAAAGAACTCTTGTATTGCTCTGTGATTGGTAGCTAATTGTCCTTGTTTAAACCTTGAGATTAGAGAAATGTTTTACCAATGTATGGACCTCGTGCTTTTTAATTTATAGATAATATTAAAATTAATACAATTCCAAGAATGATTTAATCAAATAATAGGCCTAGTCTATTAAAAAATGATTACATATAAATCCAATAATTATTTAATAAAATATATATTTTCTGGTTTATTTAAATAATAATTGTTTAATAAAATGTAAATGTATTTGTATTTTGTTATATTTCGGAGTATGTTCTTATAATCTTCAAACTTGTGAATGTTACAATATTGAATAGCCTAAAGCCAATGCTGTGATATCTGCCATCCATGTAAAAGAGACTTTAACGAGGAATGGCCATCTACATCTTCTATAGCCGGTGTGCTTCATATATAGGCCACAAACGACACGACAGACTCCTCGTCGCTTCACAATCAGATGTTCTCAGAGATGCAGCGACAGCGCGCAGACATGCTGGTCAGAAGAAAATACAAGAGATACTCCAAACACAAAATGACCTACCTGGGTCTGATCGCATATGTCATTCAAAACACTCCTGAGAAGAAATTAACGTTTTACGAAGTAAGCTCAACTTTATTACAGCTGACAATGCGCTCAGTGTAAACTAGATAGTTTGGCTACGAATTGTGATTGGACGAGATGAATTCTCTGCGCTCCCGAACTGCATTCAGTGGCTAATTCAGGGTAGCCTAATAGCCTTTTTTTGAATGAATTGTTTTCTTCATTTTCTAATTAAATGCAAACATTTATTAAACGTTGTCTTTTATCATATCTCATTTTTAAAAGCAATGACGCACTTTCTTGAGTGCTTTATTAAATAAAGCAAAATCAGAAACAGGGCTATAATAACCTATGCTCTGCGCTCCCGAACTGCATTCAGTGGCTAATTCAGGGTAGCCTAATAGCCTTTTTTTGAATGAATTGTTTTCTTCATTTTCTAATTAAATGCAAACATTTATTAAACATTGTTGTCTTTTATCATATCTCATTTTTAAAAGCAATGACGCACTTTCTTGAGTGCCTTATTAAATAAAGCAAAATCAGAAACATAGGGCTATAATAACCTATAAAACACATTTCATTACACCAAATACACCAAATAATGTTCTTTTTAGCAGCATCATATGACCCCTTTAAGTGTTTGGTGGTGTGGGCGAGCAGATGCCATTCCCCCCCAAGTACACTCTTAAAAATAAAGGTTCCAAAAGGGGGTTTTCACAGTGATGCCATAGAAGAATGAGTTTTGGTTCCCCAAAGAACCTTTAAGTGAAAATTTCTTTAAAAAACAAAACAAAAAAATTCTTAGTGTGAAGAACATTTTAATAATCTAAGAACCTTTTTCCACTGTAAAGAACCTTTTGTGGAATGAAAAGGTTCCATGGATGGTAAAGGTTCTTTGTGGAACCATTGATGCCAATAAAGGACCTTTATTTTTATGGTTCAGAATAAGATTAAAACCCACTTAATTATACATATTCCATTCAGACACAAAGACGAGATGATTCAAATAAAATTTATTGACCTCCAGCTTCCAGCAGTCAATATGCATGCAGATACAGGCTTCAGTCAAAATAATTGTTTCTGTCAAAGTTTCCCAACCTTTTCTTACAAAACTGCGTGCACCTTAAATAATCAGTTCTGCAGTGTACAAACCACAAAAATACCAGTTTTACATTATCAAATACTGCACATAGAAAACATTTACAAAGCACAAGTATAAAATTACAGCTTCCCCATACAGCTCTCTTTTCCATTCTGTTATTCCGAAGCAGCGCACTGTCAGCTCAAATCATTTTCTAAAAGTTTTGGGGGCTACTTTTGCTCTGATAAATCTTTGATCGTGCTCTCTCAAAGTGCAAGACTTAAACTGAAGTGGGTTACATCATTTTCAAAGTAGCTACATCTCTTGTGAAAGTGGAAAACCTGTCTGCAAAGGTGAGCATGTCTCAACAATGTCTTGTGTTGTTCACAATGTCATGAATAATATGAATGGCTGATTTATGGTGACAACAAAAGAGCTGCTAACAGCTTTGCTACATGGATAAGAAAACAGACTACAAATGACCATCTTTGCATTTGTAAAATAAATCAATTTCCAAAGACAGTCTGACCCAAAAGTACAATAAATTCAAGGTTGTAATCATATAATTTGAATAAAATTAGTATTTAAAAAGTATTTTTTTTATTTTTTATTACATGTCTTGGTTATGTGTGATCACAAAAAATAGTGCCTTAGAAGACACCGCATGGCTCTTTGAGAAAATAAAGACAAACATGCAATGCTTACTTTCTCCAGACCATTTTACAAATCTCAATAATGTAAATGACTAAAAACAGGCATGCACTGAATGTTACATTTAACCTATAGGCACAACTAATATCTGATATCCATCTTAGTTTTTCAGCAAAACTGAATGCTCAAATCAATTGTGATAGCAAACAGATTGAATTAGATACTAGGGATGTTGTGCTCATGTAAGCCTTTAAACATCAACACATACCGGGTAAAGATGTTATTCTGTCACTCAGACACTGTAAAACAAATATGTTTTATAATACAATAACATGAAATATTTAATACGTACATTCAAGTTAGAGATACTTCAGTATCATTAATAATATCAAAGCAAAACACTCACGGCTTTCAGTAACATGTCTAAGCCTTATATAATCTCTCAAGTAAGGCAATAAACAAGCCACCGCCTTTCATCCAACAAACCACTCTGTAAGATAATTCATTTTACAAAAATAAGATAAGAGCTCAATATATACTCATTATTCTTTATATTTGTTCACAAACGTAACAAAAACAGTATTAGGGGTTCATAAAAAGACTTCACAAGGGTTTAAAAGAATAGTTCACCCAAAAATGAAAATTTGCTTCAAATTTACTCAGCCTCAGGCCATCCAAGATGTAGATGAGTTTGTTTCTTCATGGGAACTGTTTTGGATCAATTTAACATTCCATCACTTGCTCACCAATGGATCCTCTGCAGTGAATGGGTGCCGTCAGAATGAGAGTCCAAACAGCTGATAAAAACATCGCAATAATCCACAAGTAATCCACACCACTCCAGTCCATCAATTAACGTCTTGTGAAACTGAAAGCTGCATGTTTGTAGGAAACAAATCCATCATTATGATGGTTTTAACTTCAAACCATTACTAAAATATGAGCCCTCTTTGTCTTGTCTGAATCAGGAGAGAAATATGCAAATTAACTAATGGACTGGTGTGGATTACTTGTGGATTATTGTGATGTTTGTATCAGCTGTTTGGACTCTCATTCTGACGGCACCCATTCACTGCAGAGGATCCATTGGTGAACAAGTGATGTAATGCTACATTTCTCCAAGAAACAAAGTCATCTACATCTTGGATGGCCGGATCTTGGGTGAACTATTCCTTTAACTGGCCCAGAAAGATGTAAAGGGATTACATTCCTATTTGAAATTATAGCAATCTGTCAACATTTATATAATTTATATACATTATACAGTACCTGACGAAGCGAAATCTCATCAAATAAATGTTCAAATTTACACCTCATTCTCAGTTTTACAATCTACTCTCCATTTCTGAATGCAAATAAAAAAGTAAGCATGAATACCAGGTTGATCACATCCAACTGTTTCCGCTATGATTGTTGGCCCACACAGACAACACATTGTTGTCAGGTTTATTCATCTTACATCTGTATTTCAGTGTATTAAGATCATTCCCCAGTCAGGCTGGTGTCACTTACACTCACACATAAACTGCACATGCCATAAAACTGCCAAGAAAGACTCTTCAGACTTCACCATGTATGAACTGAAAAGCATGAAGTGATCTCGCATATAAAAGCATGACGTATAGTTCAACACCGAGCATTTAAACAAACCAGATGCCAGCCACATTTTCTGGTATCTTATTCAGAAGTTACAACATCATACTCAAAGATTTGTATTTACAGATTATCAACACATCACAGAAGCATTTGTTAGCTGCACTGTAAAAAAAATTATGTAGTTTTTACAAAATAATTTTGGCAGCTGTGGTTGCCAGAATAATTTTGTAAAAAATACAGAAAAACTGTAAACACATTTACGGCCAAAAACCAGTATAAAACAGTATAAAACTGTAATTTACAAACAAGAAAATTTTAATGTAAACCAGTAAATTCAACAATGCACACTGCTATTAAAATCTGTTTTGTACCTTTAACATACTGACAACCACCATAATAATGCAGGTGGTAAAAGAGAAAGCCACATGAAGAATCAAAGCTCATCACAAGTAGCTTCGCCACAAGCAGAAGCATATACTAATATATAGAAGGTGCACAGAGTCATTCATGCAAACACAAAACACCATCATGGTAACACACATGATACTTAAATAATGCATTAAACTTCCATTAAACAACAGAAGATGTAACATAAAGCCCAAATATACATAACTAATAACAAAAACTATTAAAAAAACATGATTATTTAAACAAAATACTTTCAAATGTGGAGTGTCATGCAGGGAATTCTGGAAATATCAGTTTACAGTTTTCGACTGTAAATTATACATTGATTTGTTATTTTTACTTCTAAAAACTGTAAAATTAACAGCATTTTACTGTAAAATTACATGAAATGTCTGGTTAGATATTTTACAGTTTTTCCCTGTATATAGTACGGGAACTTACTGTTAACCTATTAACAGTTTTCTTCCGTAGCGTTTTTACAAAATTTTACAGTTAAAATTACACTTATTTTTTACAGTGTGTATCTGATCACTGTCAGCACAAAACAGATCTGATCGTTCTCATTCCATGTTAAAATATCAAAACGCATCCAAACCACAGAAATCTGGAAGCGGCAAATCTAGATATTTTAATTTTTTTGTTAATGTTGCATTTGGTTTAGCTATGGACTGCAACAATCTACATCCATCCACTACACCTGGAAAAATAGAGCAGTACAGTACAAATATTCATGCATTCAGACTCTTTTCATTTTGCAAAAATGCAAGACCAGTAAGATTTTGTAACTACTTCATTGTACAGTAAAGGGACACGTATATTATCCCAAATTTCCAAGTACGTAAAATCACATAGAAAAAATATCAATATCTAATAGTAATTTCATATGTGTTTACCAAGGACAAACATTCAGCTGCAAATACAATTTGTTTTCAGTACTGTAATATAATTTCGTCTTAAATTAGAATTAAGAAGTAATTTTTTGTTCCTAATTTAATGTACAGACATTTGTCTGTTAGTGAAAAAGACAAAGGTGCAACACAATCAAACTTGTGCAAATACAAAAGAAGCAAGACATGTATGTGAAAGATAGCAGAAACTCTTTTTGTATGTTTAAAGGTAAAACCTCCGAGCTTGAACAACAACGACGGGCTGAAAAGTAAGATATTGTAAATATGTTAAATCTGGCATGGGTAAAATACATATTTTGCAGTTTCGGATGAAAGTAAGAAAGTGTAAAGTCCCATTTTTTGGTCCAACTTATACTTTTGGCCTTACAGAAACAATTAAAATGCAACTATATATATAGTGTGCACAGCGTGTCTTCTGATTCAGCCGTTTTTGAAATTGTCCTTAAAGATTCTTTGTGAAGCAAAACATCTAAATGAACAGAGAAAAGATAAATAAAGACACAAGCAACGACTAAACGTTTCTCAGGATTTAAAGATAAATCTCTATATGAACATGACCATTCATTACGAAAATTAAGTGTTTTATAGTATCTACATCTTACCAAATGCATTGAAACGTGTGCATGTACTGTAAAGTGCATTGATGGAATGGCCTAGGATAATAAAAACAAGAGATTTTGAAAGTATGGAATGTGAGGCACACTTTCTTATGAACATCCAGATAAATGGTGACATTTTGTGCTGTACATCTTGACCAGTGTAGCAGTGACATTGGCAGATAGAAAAAAAAAACAGCATGTACAAAACACAACACTAAAATACTTCAAACGCTGATGCGATTCAAAATGATAAATCAGATGAAACGGTTTGCTGACGGTCTCATAATCCGCCTTTAAAAGCAGATCCATCTACAATAGAGTTTGTGTGCTTCCATCAAAGAGAGTTTAAACAGATTGAATTATACAAACGTCTTTAATGATTTGGCAAATGATCCATATGGGAATTTAGAAATGAATAATGTTCTGGTTCTTACCGATAGTGTCACAAATGCCATCACCTCTGCAGAAATATGTGACTGATTTGACATGAATAAACTGGTACACAGATACTATGATATGTATGGTACCTTCTCCGGCTCTGATATATTTAGAGAAGCTATGAAAACAAATCTAGGAGGCTGACAAGAGTACTTCGTTTTTTACCTACAGTGCTGCTTTCCTTCCACAAGTCTCCATAACACCGAAGATCGACTGAAGAAACCGTCTAGAGCCACTCAGCTTCAGAGACGAAGCTAAAGAAGACTGCTGATTGGACAGGAATAGTCACAATGGTTCGAAAGACCAAAAAAAAAAGTGTCCAGGAGTTTATAGAATACCATTCGTTTTGGACTTCAAGATCCTGTTGAGAGAGCGCGACCCCATCACCAGTCCTCATATTGTTGTGTGTGTGTGTGTTTTTGTTCAGCATGACCTCCTGAGAGTAACAGGGAATGGGAAAGGCCTTTAACAGTTCCAAATGCTGGTAGAAAGAAACCCAAAACTACTTGAGGCGGTAAAGTCTAATGCGGCTCCAACTTCCCAGAAAGCTTCGCTACTTGCTACAAGAAAAGTTTTCTTGCTTGCCAGCGGACACCGTTCGGTGTATCCCACAATGCAGCTGTGTATGAGGGTTGCTGGTTTAACAGGAGGGAGGGTTCGATTCCCTCGACTACGTCTGCAGCTCGGTGCAGATGGTGTTGTTCAGACAAAAAGTGAGATTGAAACATTAGCAAAATAAATAACCTACCGTCTATAAGTCTACGTAATTTTAAAGGCAAGCTTAAAATAGCACTTTACATATTTTGCTCAACAAGGGTTGCGAGTTAACGTGCAGAATTCAGTCGATAAATACATAAACACAAATAGCGATCTATATATTTATTTATTCAGCTCTCCGAAAAGGAAAAAAAGAATACGCTACTTTATGCGACAGGAATCGTGTGCATTTCTAATAAATAACCTGACATGTGGAGTAAAGCCCTGCCCTTTAAAAGTTTAATTGTGAATGTAGGTATGATCACATTTACTGAAATTTTACAGGCGAATTCCAGTCATTTCTATAGGAATCCATTTCGCGCAAGGAGCGAAAAAGTCGCGATGCAGGTTTCGTTCGTCTTCAAGTTGGTCATGCGAAATTGCCACGCCAAAAGTTGCTTGGTATGAAAGTGACTTAATACGTCGCTACACTATCGACAACTGAAAATGGATTCCTTTGCGAACAAAATTTCGCTAACGTGACCGCACCTTATGAGTTTTTCTAACACGTCTTTGTTTTTTGCATCTCATCTAAGTCACTGACTCTGCTACATATCCATACTCTATAATATAACACTACAGATAATAAGAATTGCTTTGGTTTTTAAAAAATAAAACTTTGTTCGGGTTTGGCATAGAGAAATGACTGACCCTCGAGGGTCTGGAAACTACTAGAAACTACCCATTCTGCTTCCTGTGTGACGTGACGTCAACACGAATGCTACATTGTCAGGAATATTTCTCGGCGGGTTTATTAAATGCCCCTATTGGTTGACCTGCAGACAATGGATCTGTATGTAACCAGCCGTGACTGCTTTTTCACAACCCTATGACTGCATGTTGCTGGTTACACCCATATCCATCTGCGAGGGTGTGTGTGTATGTGTGTGTGTTATGTGTGTCACGCCTGATTTGTATCCAACTCTTAATATCTGTATCGGTAAAGAGGAGCGTTCCAGCCCCGGGCGAGTTGGCTGTATCTATCAGGGTGTGTGTTCATGCGTTTGGGGTCAGTGACGGGGTATATTGAACAAAGATACACACGTAGAGATAGAGAAGACGGGCATATTTAGAAGGGGACGTGGATGTTTCTAGGTGCAAGAGGGGCTGGTGGCGCTCTCGAGCGAGGACTGGGAGAGTCGGCGCGTCAGGGGGCCGATGCTGGGGTCCGCCAGAGAGGAGGTGGGGAAGAGCTTGTACCAGCCGCCCACCATCGACGTCAGATCCAGATCATCCAGGAGGATCTGAGCCATTCCCATGAAACACTTGCTGTCCATGCGGCCGTAATCGCCCCACACGATCACCTGGAGAGGTTAAAGGTTACAAATGAAGGATCAGTATGTGGAGAGGTTAAATATAGAGTGGCCCTAAATATACTTTAGCATTTGCACTTGGTTTGATTTGAGTTTCTTATGTAATGCAATGACATTCATACATTTTTAAGTGTGTCTTAATTTTTGGACACATTTAAAAAATGTCACAATGTAGTTTTTGTCTTAATTTTGACCAGTACATTTTTTTTTTTTTATTAACATTTTCTGCCATAAACAAGGCAATTTAAAAGTTTGGGATCAGTAAGATTTTTTTTTAAAGAAATTATACTTTCAGCAAGGACCCCTTTCAGCAAAAGGTGTAGTAAATACATATTATAATGTTACAAAGCATATCTTTCAAATAAATGCTGTTGCTTTCGAATTTCTTATCATCAAAGAATCTTGAAAAATCTTGAAAACAGTTTCCACAAACATATTAAGCATCACAATTGTTTTCAACACTGATAGCAATAAGAAATGTTTCTTAAGCAGCAAATTATCATATTCGAATGATTTCTGAAGAATAATGTGACACTGAAGACTGGAGTAATGATGCTGAAAATTCAGCTTTGATCACAGCAATAAATTATATAATAATTTAAAAATATATTCAAAAAGAAAGAGTTGTTTTAAATTCTAATAATATTTCACTATATTACTGTTTCTACAGCATGTTTAATCAAATAAATGCAGCCTTGGTCAGCATAAAATACTATTAAAAAATTAAAAAATTAAATATTAAAATAAATTAAGATCAATATTGTAACCATATATATGTATATATATATTACTGTATTAATTCATATTAAATAATAATAATAAATATTAAATAGTAAGGTTTTAAATTACACTACTATTTGTGTTAATTATTCTGATAGAGGCTTTAATGTTATTTTTAAGTGTTTGATCATATTCAATATTTTAAGATTATATTTTACACTACAAAGGCTGTACAAAATATGAATTGTGTAAAACAGTAGACAGTTATATCAAAACACTCCTGTGTTTCAAATAAGACTGTGCACGACTGTCAAAATGTTTTATGGCCTTAAATACTTTTTTGGGACCGCTGTGTATTTAGATGCTAGTATGCTGTTTTCTAAAGAATGTGTTTGTGAAGGACAGCTGGAGTGATTTTGACTGAATACCTGCAGCATTTTCCCCTGCGGGCTCTCGTCAAACATCAGGGATTGCTGGAAGGTTGGATCCAGGGTTTTCTTCACCACTTTGGTTTTCTTCTTAGCGAGACACATTCCATTCTCCAGGACATAAACCTTTACATATGTTGCTGATAGAGAAGAAAACACCCAATGATGAAACAGTGTTCTGTGTTCTTACCTAACATGGTAATGTGAATAAAATGATCCAACTCAATCATGTTTAACGGTGGGTTACCTTGAATGTTCTTTGAGCCTGGTTTAGGGGTCAGACCTCGGGCCTGCGTGATCTCGACCTCTAACTGACCCCCTCTATCCACCACACCGATGTAAACATCACCTAAACAGAGGAAACCATACTCTTATGAAAGCCTTCTTGCAATGGGATCAATCAACAGCAGGTGGAGACAAAGAACAAGACACAACCTCCACTCCTGAGAGTTTCTGCCTTGATGTTTGATCATAAAAGAAGGAATTAGAAAGGTATTATTATGTCTAACAAGTCAGTAACTCCAGTTCAGTCACCATGAGCTCTTGAAAAGGTTGACATTTATCAGACCTGGTGATTATGCAGATAAACTGATTGACAATCAGCTGAGTGCCACGGAGTGATACAGAACAGCACAGTACAATATTATTTCTACAGTTTATATTGTGCATATACTATGCTCAAAAATACAGGTAAAACTCCCATAAAAATCAATTTGGACAAATCCTTCATATTAATATAGTATATTGTGCCCTATTTTCATGGATTATTTAGTGTACTACATTATACCCCACATAGCAATGTGCTCAATTTGATCGTCTATTCGTACGAAAAAAGCAATTTTTTTTATGTTTGGCAGTCAGTAAAACAAAAATGCAAAATAACCCTTTTTTATTTACAGGATTGTAATATAATTATGAACTTGATGGTTTCTGAACTTAAATGTTTTCAGAACTTAATCTCTTAATCGTACTTGCAATTCAGTAAAAATGCATTATACTTGAATTATTTATTATTATTTAGCTTAACTTTAAAGCACTTCTTCTGACCCACATAAGTAGAACTTATGAACGTGTACTCTTGAATGCATTTATGACAAACTAAAATATACTTTAATGTCATTTCTGTTGAAACTTGTATCTCATGTATTTTGAATATATTACTTATTGCACATTTGTAATGATAAAGTAGCAATTTGGTATTTAAAATACATGAATGTATTTACTTAAATATAATTATGTACATAAACATTAACTTATTACATGTAGTAATGAGTAACAATTTTCATATGAATCCAGAATAAAAATGCTAAATATTATTTTTTTATGAACCTGATGGTAATTGTTGTATTTGAGTGTATTCTGGCCAGTATGCAGGCGTCTTACCCATTGGCGACAAACTAAAATATACTTTAATGTCATTTCTGTTGAAACTTGTATCTCATGTATTTTGAATATATTACTTATTGCACATTTGTAATGATAAAGTAGCAATTTGGTATTTAAAATACATGAATGTATTTACTTAAATATAATTATGTACATAAACATTAACTTATTACATGTAGTAATGAGTAACAATTTTCATATGAATCCAGAATAAAAATGCTAAATATGATTTTTTTATGAACCTGATGGTAATTGTTGTATTTGAGTGTATTCTGGCCAGTATGCAGGCATCTTACCCATTGGCGGTGTGGCTAATGTCTGCCGCCCCACTATCTGAGCGGGACCAAGACCGTCCAGGAAGTCACTGAACTGGCTCTCAGGGCCAAGGCGAGTGGTGGAGAAGATGAAGCTGAAATACACCCGGTGTGATGTGTGAAATGTGTGATCAATCAAACTCATCAATACAAGGCAGGTTTGTTTCTAACCAGTACAATATATAGTGCTACTTCATCATTTACTGTGACAGTACCTCACATTACACACAGATGAGTGAGTCTAATGAAACATGTCAAGATCTGAGTATACAGGTGCATCTCAATAAATTAGAATGTCATGGAAAAGTTCATTTATTTCAGTAATTCAACTCAAATTGTGAAACTCGTGTATTAAATAAATTCAGTGCACACAGACTGAAGTAGTTTAAGTCTTTGGTTCTTTTAATTTTCGACAAGTAATTAATTAGATAAAAAATTGTAATCGACTGACAGCCCTATATATATATATAATATATATAGTAGTGCTGTCAAATGATTAATCGCGATTAATCGCATCCAAAATAAAAGTTTTGTTTACATAATATATGTTGTGTGTGTGTTGTGTATGTTTATTATGTATATATAAATACACACACACATGCATGCATATATTTAAGAAAAATGTGTTATGTTCATATATTAAATATATTTATATATAATTATATATATTTAATACAAATGTAATCATTTTATTCCTTTTTTAATTATTACTCATTATTTACATATTTTATCAATTAGTTGTTGCAGTTCTAATCGTACTGCACCATATTTGAATTGTGACATTATTTTCATGGCAATTAAACACATTTCCTGCTGTAATGTGAAACAAATATGTTATCATATCATATCATTAAAATTGTAAAATACTGTTGTACTGCCTTTAATTTATGATCTAAGTAAAACTAAACAGCTGTGGTCCTAAAAATAGGTTTCTGCTTATTTTATGCAAAATATTACATCTTTTTTTCTTTTGATTTTGAAATGTGGACATGTTTTGTGAGATCTAAGTGCATTCGGATGCAGTGATTAAATGTGTGAGGTGGTGGGTCACACTCACGTCCCATCAGAGCTGTTGCTGTTGGTGCTGCCATCTGTCGAGTCCTTACTGCCCTGCCGTGTGACACGGTTCCTCATCTCCACTGCGATGCCTGTCTCTGTGCTTCGCCGGATGGTGCTGCGCAGCTTCTTTGTTCCACCATCTACACAAAAACACACACATATGCAACCCTGCTCACTTTCCATGAATAGGGCACCAAACTCTTGGGAGGAAACTCCTTAAAAATATATACACTCACTGGCCAAGTTAATAGGTACAACTGTTCAACTGCAAATATCTAATCAGCCAATCACATGGCAGCAACTCAATGCATTTAGGCATGCACATGGTCAAGACATTCTGCTGAAGTTCTATACTCAAATGGCCTCAACAGTCACCAGATCTCAGTCCAATAGAGCACCTTTGGGATGTGGTGGAACGAGAGATTTGCATCATGGATGTGTAGCCAACAAATCTCAGCAACTGCGTGATGCTGTCATATCAGTATGGAAGAGTGTTTCCAGCACCTTGCCACGAAAAATTAAAGCAGTCCTGAAGGCACAAGGGGGTCCAATCTGGTACTAGAAAGGTATACCTAATAAAGTGTCCGGTGAGTGTATATTCTTTCATTTTTCAGCAAATGAACAGTGAAATGAGTTGTCAGAAATGCTGGTTGTCAACCTCAGGAGGTCAAACTAAACATTAAATTGTTAAATTTTTATTCACTTTTAAGGGTTTTGCCGTTTTTGCAACCCTCTTACCAACATGTCTAGATGAAACTTTTGTATCATTTCGCATTTTATTAGCAATACACATTAAATATCAAAACAAAATTTTAAAATATATAAATTAATAATAATAAATAAACAGAAATAAAAAACACTCTAAAGGGTAAATGCGTTGGAGAGTAACAGGGTTGCATATTTAGCCTAAAAGAAGCTGTCACTCAACAGGGGTCAGCAAATTTGGGATCAAAAGTTTTTGTTTTTTTTAAATAAAACGTGTTTGACTGTCTTCCTATAATAACAGAACAGGGTTATTGTAGTTAAATTAAAAAAATAAAAACATTTGAAATAAAACAATAAAATAAATTTAAACTGAAATAAGTTACTTAAAAAAAGAACTTATTTTATTTCAGATAGTTAGAAACATTTCTCATTTTCATTTAGTTTAACTGGAGTAAAAATGACACATTAAAAATGGGATAAAAATGACTAAAACTTTAAAATCCAACCAAAAGAAATTTCAAAGAAGTTATTCAAAATATGAATAAAAGCTATAATATTATCTCAGTCACACAATAGCAGAGTTGAATGGCTATGCTTCATGAATGCAATCAACACTAAAATGTGTAAGAAAACCGTTTTAATCTGATGATGTTAAATAATGGTGTCACAAGCAATGAGAAATTAGTTAATAGTTTAAAATGTTTTTAATGCAATTAATTAAATATCATTTCAATCGATTATATCAAAATTATATAATTGTATGATTACAATACAGTCAGGAAGGTCAAGACCTTTATGCTTTTAATACTTGAAAAAAGTCACAGACATTGAGGTGCAATGGAAAGTGGCACAGATGTAAACTCCTAAAATTGAATGCCATGTAAAACCACACTGCATGAACAGCTCAAGTGTTTATGAAAAAGACAGCTGAGCTTATATAGTCTAGTCATATTTCATACCAGCAGTCATTTACTCGGGTACTAATGTAAACTCTTCTGTATTCATACTCTGCGTGACTTCCAGCTGTTTACAGCTGCTGAATTTAGCTGACATGCTTTCCTGCCAAACAATCAATCCAGACATAGCAGAAGAGCATGATGATCCCTCAAATGCTTTTGCTTTTGTCCTCAAGCACCAAATATGGAAATCAGAAGAGATAAACCACATGAAAATGGTGGTTAAATTTGTAACAGGGCTCATCAAAAACACAGTAGGTGATAATAAACAATGCTAAATTTAACTTTCGAACTAAAAACCTTCATGTTTCATGTTCCCAGAAGGCTCCCGTTGCAAGTCACCCGGGAGTTATAAAGTGCTACATCCATTATCAAGTGCACACTAGGGTGGTCCCCATGCTGCAGAGCTCCAAAAGCGACAAGAAAAAGCAAATGCACACTGCACACAAAAACTGAGAGCACTTTTGGAAATAGCAAGCTCTGATCTGCCCGCTGGAAAACCAAACTGCTTTTACAGAGTACTGGGTTGATATTATGCTGCTATAATATGTATAAATAATAATATGTATAAAAGTGCTATTTACCAGGTTCTTGGCTTCACATCTTTCAAAGACATTCAAAGTTTTGTTTGAGGCACTTAGGAGCAAGTTAACATGTCAAACTGGGCAGAATATGGAGTTCAACTGGGCTAAAGGTGCACCATGGTGAAAGCCGCATTTGATTTTATTCTCCTTTAAACCACTAAATGACACAAAAACTCACCACAGTATTTTTTATAAACATTCTTTCAAGTGAAAATGTGAAAATTTGCTTGATTCTTGACACAATTGACCCTTCACAAAACCCGCCCTCTTAGTAATTCTTGCTATGTCAGACAAGCCATGCCGCTCTCACGCCACATATCATGTTCTTGCAACATGATCTCATGATAATTTGTATGCATTTTATGTAAAATGTGGTTCTACAAAATGTACATTTACTTACGTTTTTACAGGCACTAAAACGTACAATACTGACGCATTTTCAGCATCTAAACGTACAAATACGTATTTTCAGCATTTAAACGTACAATACTAACGTATTGACGACACCTAAAAATAGGGATGGGTATCGTTAAGGTATTAATGGTATTACTACTGATACTGCTTATCAATCCGGTACTTACGGTAACGGTATTCTGATCGGTACTTTTTGTTTTATATATATATATATATATTTGAGGCACAAATTAAGAGCTAAATTAACATTGCTTTATATTCTGAAATGTAAAATAAATATTTAATGAAATGAATAAAACATCAATTTGTAAATGCACCAGTGTGCAGGCATTTTTAGTGTTTAATATACATAAGATACATAAGAACATGAACAAAAAATAAAGTAAAACAAGGATACAAATGAAATAAATTGTGCTTTAACTTTTCCATGAAGGTCTACTAACATTACTGTTCAGGTAAGTATTATAGCCTATTTATTGATATAATTTATTATATCATTTAAATCGCTTATTGATAAAATGATAAAAAAGCATTGATACGAATTTCTTGATATAAAAGGTACGTAAAAGTTTTACGTTTTTAGCTAAAAATACGTAGCGATTTGTACGTTTTAAACATTGAAATACATCTAAATTGTACATTTTAGCATCAATAAAAACGTACAAAAATGTACGTTTTGTGCTTGTAAATGTTACGTATTAATACCTACGTATAAACAATGAGACCAGGCTGGTTCTCATGCAGTGAAAAATACATTGCGAAGCAAAGACGACACTGACAACACTCCGACAGACAAGACTGAGCAGGTTACTTTAGGTATGAAACTAATTTAGTCTTTTTTTAAAGAAATTAAAACAACAAATACTGTTTTGTGGCTCTTAGATGTGTCGTGACAGATCACTGCAGCGCCTCAGTTAAAGCGACACGTGAACCGATCATCTCTTTCTCTTTACTAGTTATAGCATTAAATAAACATGAATGAACATCAGAAGGTACTTGTTTCAACCGTGGAAAGACATCAATACACACCATTTTTCAACTTCAAGTCCACCGACGCTAATCTACTCTCCTGTCTGGTTTGTTTGTCGAAAAAAAAAAAGGCAGATTCTGTGTTTTAATTGGTCAGATAACCTGTCAATCAAACTCCCTGCGGATTTGCAGCAATACAAAGTTGATTCTGCACTAATTTGAGCTAATGAATGTTTTTTTTTTATGTTTTAGAATAGATTAATGTAGCAAATGAGAATCAATAAAATTACAGAAAATATTTGAAGACAAATGTCTTGTTAATGATTTTTAGTTTTGTTCGAGGTAATTCAATCAACAGGTTTTCAGTAACTGAAGAATATGTAAAAATATTGTTTTTGGGACAAAAAGCGCACCTGCTGTTGGGGCTAAAGGCAAGATAATAAATAGAAATTTAAATATATTCTATAAAAGCCATAATATTTATATATATATATTTTATATATAACATAAAATATTTATTGTTACTACTGTAAAGCCACATTAAATTATTACGGGATTTCCATCAAAGTTTTCAGAATCTTTACTTTAAAAAAAAAAAAAAAATTTTTTTAATGACGGTATATATTTACTGAACAATTACATGTTTCTTAATTTATCAAAATAAACAGAGAATAGTAAAAACTTTGCTGAAGTGATTGTTTTGAACAATTATTAATGATTAATTATCAATTATTAAAGTACAGTGTTTATATCAATACTGGGTGCCTTTTGCTTATGCTAGTGAACTTTGCTGCATAACTACACTGTTGCCTTTGTAGAGCAGCTTTACAGCAGAATTTAACATCTGTCTCTTATCTGAAACTGTCTGAATCATTGATTCTGTTATTTTCCTTTTTATTACTGTGAAGCTACTTTGAAACAATCTCTACTGTATAAAGTGCTATATAAAAAAGGCTTCCACAAAATGTGTTGATCTATCAATGTTCAATAAAAACATACATTTTTTCTGTAACTGTACACTATGGGAGCAGTGAAAAGCACATTTTCTTGAGGTGTGCCGTCAGCCCTGTTGTACCCTGCCATAAGTCAAAGGTCTGGCTGTGTGAGACTCCGGGGTGTTTTTCTGTCAACTGTGCCTCTAACTCTTTCAGATGTCCATAAGTTTGTAGAATGATGGCAAAGCGGCTCACAAACCTGGAAGATGCACAAGACAAGCGCATCCAGCAATCTGTTAGAGCCTGGCGATGAAGGCCAAGCTGCTGACCTCACCATATAAATTGAGAGAGTGGACGAGAGAGAGAGAGAGAGAGAGAAACAGGCTGCAGGTCAGCTGACATTAAGAAAGAGATAAAGAGAAAAACATGGCGCTCCATTCTGTGCCAAAGATGACATCTCAGAGGTAATGTAAGGTGTAGAGCAACAGAGTGATGACGACTTCATAATTACATCCAGTATCAGATAGGAGCCAATAAGACAATGAGCCACAGGACTAACGCTCTGATATATGCATACTACAGTACTGTTCTTAGTATTTAAAGGGAATTAAAGGGATAGTTCATTAAAATTCTGTCATCATACAACATATGGGCATTATCCTTTTGAAAGGGTTCATCTGATTAGAGTCAAATATTTCTTCCAAGCTCAGATGTGTGGTTTGGTATATTATTGAAGTATACATTGAACATTATTGAAGTATATATTATTGAACATACAAAGTGTAAAAATAACAGAGAGAGCAAACACAGATTTCGAATAAATGCTGTTCTGTTGAACCTTCTATTCATCTATTCATATTCAAAAAACCATGAATAAAAAGTATCACAGTTTCCATGAAAAACATGAAGCAGCACAACTGTTTTCAGCATTGATAATAATGACAAATGTTTCTTGAGCAGCAAATCAGCATATTAGAATGATTTCTGAAGGAACATGTGACACTGAAGACTGGAGTAATGATGCTGAAAATTCAGCTTTGCATCACAGGAATGAATTGCATTTTAAAATATACTACAATAGAAATCAGTGATTTTAAATTTTAATAACATTTCACAATTTTATAGTTTCGACTGTATTTTTCCAATAAATTCAGCCTCAGTGAGCATAGAAGTCGTCTTTCAAATACATAAAAAAAACAAAAAAAAAACATCCCAGATGCCAAACTTTGTAGAGTAGTGTATTTTAGTCAGATGAAACAATCACAGCAGCACCCATATAATCAAATTTTCAAAGTTTGGAAGGCTAAAATCAATCCTATTGAGCAGCACTCTCATGAAATGATTTTATGTGAAAAGAGATGCATATGATAGAAGATACACTAATTGCATTTGACCACAGCTAATTGTACAGTTTACCATCATTATATATATATATATATTTAAAAAAATAGAAAAATAACTGCAGAATGTCACAATTTACTCATGAAACAAGTATTTCAGAGAGTGAGATCAAAACCTGAAGAGTTCAAAATATTCTGAGATTAAGAAACAGGTTAAAAATCCCTAGAATTTTAGGATGGAGCACCATATGAAATTAATGTCTACATAATGTTCAATAACATAAAAAAACAGCTAGACTGCAAATGATGCTATGTTCTAAACTGACATAGTGATATGAATCACAACAGTGTCGTTTCTGCAGAAGAAGACGTACAGGCAGACTGCAGAACTGCAAGCATTGCATTCCCAGCAGACACTTGCTTACTGTCATGGAGCTCACAGTCTTTAAAATAAAATAACTGCAACAGAGAGAACGAGAACAGCTTTCTAAAAATACAACGAGAACATGCACAGTGTGGGCCACAGGAACTCAGAGCAACAAGACCGCGGTCACCATTCACTGAGGTGTTCAATTGAACTACATGTGATTGTGGAAAGACAGATGATGCTAAAACACCGCAGACGCTGTGGCAAGCAAATGTTTGGGAAATATAATATGTGACATTTTAGAAAAGGTACTTTGTGGGAGAGAATAACTGCATGATGTTGACTTACAGAAACAGGTTATTTTACACTAACAGGTGGCTGGCTGTGAGGTAGTGAAAGGGAAGTGTACATTCAGTTGACACTGAGATCGGTGTCTCTGTTGAGCCCTCGGGCAGGACCGTATGTGTGACAGTGTTGAATCTCTGTTT